CATCTTTCGGGTCCCAACGGGCATGCTCACACTCAAACCTCTCACAGCAGATCGTGGTTGGCGGACGGTGCACCCGCAGAGGGTTCCCGCCACTCAGGTTTCTTCCGCCTCGCGGGCTAATCACCCACCGGCTCGCATGCACGTKGAACTCCTCGGTCCGTGTTTCAAGACGGGCAGGATAGAGGAATTCTGCCAGCATCCCGAACACGCAGGAACCCGAATGGGCCCGCCGAAAGAGGAGCGCGTGCTCAAGGTCCTCGACTGCCGTGACGGCCACCCGTGGGGGGTTTCAATCGCTCCCCACCGCAATGCCGGTCACAGCAGCCCATGCTAGCAGGCACACCACGTCCAACAAGGGGGGCGACAACACAGTCGCCGTCCACCCCTGCCCACACGGGAGCGCACGACTTTCCCTTCAATCGCTTCTCGCTCGGCAATTTCAAGCACTCTTTAACTGTCTTTTCAAAGTTCTTTTCATCCTTCCCTTGCGGTACTTCTTCGCTATCGGTCCCTCTCACATATTTAGCTTTCGATGAGACTTACCACCCAATTGGGGCTGCATTCCCAAGCAACCCGACTCGTGGACAACACCTCGTTGCGCAGCAGGGTCCGGAGGTCGACGGGGCTGTCACCCTCTTTGGCGTCCCCTTCTAGGGAACCTGCACACGGCCCGCTGCAGAGGTTGCCTCTCAAGACTACAATTCAGGGAGCAACACAGCCCCCGGATTTTCAGTCAGGGCTATTCTTGGTTCGCTCGCCGCTACCAAGGGAATATTCGTTGGTTTCTCCTCCTCCGCTTAGTTATATGCTTAAATTCGGCGGGTGCTCCCGCCCGACCTGAGATATAAAGGCAAGGCCCGACGTACCTCCACAGCTCGAGGCTGACACCCCCAACCGCAAGCCCACCTCAAGCTGATGGGAGCGAACGGAAGGCGGCGACCACACAAACCAGAGGGACAACCTTACGTTCCGTTTTCAGGGAAACGAAGACCACCACCCACAAACGGGTGCTAGAGGGCAACAACAGGGCGGAGCCAAACGCACCACTCTGGGCTGCAGCCCCCACAGGCCCGCTCGGAATGCTCTCYAATTCCCTTCCACTTTAGGCTATCGACGCTCTCCAAGTGCGAAGCGAGAAAAGCCACGACCACGGAGCCCACCACTCTCCGTAACGGAAGGTGCTGAGGTCGTGAGGAATCCAATGATGCTCAGGCGGGCGTGCCCTCGGCAGAAGCCTTGGGCGCCACGTGCGTTCAAGGTATCGATGGCTCACGGATTTCTGCAATTCACATTCAGTATCGCAATTCGCTGCGCTCCTCATCGTTGTGAGGGCCAAGATATTCGTTTGCCGAGAGTTCTACAATATGGTGTCGTTTCGACAGGACCGACCCCTCGACCAGAACAGAAGGGGGCCGTCAACCCGGACAGCGACAAATCAGAGCAGGTACATGAATAAGAAGTTGCAAAGCCGTCCCCACCAGCCCCTGCCACGGGCCCGCCCGACCCTCCGTTCGGGGGGCCAGTCAGGGCACCGGGGAGCAGCGGGGCAACGAGGGCGCAAGCGCTGTTTCCTCCCCCCCCCACCCAACCGGACACCACCCCGTTCACGACCAAAACCCTCCCCCAACGGCTCTCCACCCCGAGATTCAGACCACCTCGACTGTGTCGAGGACGCCGATCTGTCCGGAAAGGAGAACCCCGTTGGGAAGGAAGGCAGGACGAAACGGGGAGGGGCCGAGGACCCCGCAACACACCCYGCCCCTAGCCTGTACCACGACCCTCGATCCCCAAACAAGCCACAAGCTTCGCACGAAGCCGAGGTCGAGGCCGGGATGGAAAGGAGGTCTGGACAAAGCTGAGACGGGAAGGAGCACGGATACGCAGGCCGAGGACCGCCGCCACCACACGACATCCCGCCTCTAACCCTCCCGAAGGGCTGTCCGTGCCCGGACCAACCGTCATCCCGACCAGAAGTCGAGAGTGGGGCTGGGCCGAGGTAACAACCTGTGGAGGCGAGACGAGATGAAGGGGGAGCAACGCCACAAAACCCTGGACCCTGCCCACTCCCCCCACCCTCGACCTACACCACGCGCCCTTATGCGCCGGGCCAGCCGCCAGCAGCCCAAAGATGGTGCTGAAACGGAAGAGAAAAGCCGTTGCAGGGAGGATGGGGGCAAAGGGCGGCAGAAGGGCGAGCAAGCCAGCGTCCCACACCCCCAAGATAAGCCATTCCCGTGTCAATGATCCTTCCGCAGGTTCACCTACGGAAACCTTGTTACGACTTCTCCTTCCTCTAAATGATAAGGTTCAATGAACTTCTCACAGCATCCCCAGCGGCAAACCGATGACATCACCGCAATCCAGACACTTCACCGGACCATTCAATCGGTAGGAGCGACGGGCAGTGTGTGTACAAAGGGCAGGGATGTAGTCAGCGCAAGCTGATGACTTGCGCTTACTAGGCATTCCTCGTTCAACATCGATAATTAAAACCATATTTTCCCGTCACGATGAACCTTAAGAAGGTTACCCGGGCCTTTCGACCTCGGCAAGCGACTCGTTGGATTCATTAGTGTAGCGCGCGTGCTGCCCTGAACATCTAAGGGCATCACAGACCTGTTATTGCCTCAAACTTTCATTGGCTAGTCGTCCAACAGTCCCTCTAAGAAGCTGGCCAYGAGGAAAGGTCCCCGCGTAGCTATTTAGCAGGCTGAGGTCTCGTTCGTTAAGGGAATAAACCAGACAAATCAATCCACCAACTAAGAACGACCATGCACCACCACTCATAGAATCAAGATAGAGCTCTCAATCTCTCAATCCTTGCTGTGTCTGGACCTGGTGACTTTCCCCGTTTTGAGTCAAATTAAGCCGCACGCTCCACGCCTGGTGGTGCCCTTCTGTCAATTCCTTTAAGTTTCAGCCTTGCGACCATACTCCCCCCGGTACCCGTAAACTTTGATTTCTCACAAAGTGCTGGCAGAGTCATCCAATAGACATCCGCCAATCCCTAGTCGGCATCGTTTATGGTTGAGACTAGGACGGTATCTGATCGTCTTCGATCCCCCAAGTTTCGTTCTTGATTAATGATAACGTCCTTGGCAAATGCTTTCGCAGAAGTTCGTCATCCATAAATCCAAGAATTTCACCTCTGACAATGGAATACGAATGCCCCCAACCGTTTCTATTAATCATTACTCCAATCCCGAAGACTAACGAAATAGGACCAGAGTCCTATCGCGTTATTCCATGCTAATATGTTCAGAGCACAGGCCTGCTTTGAACACCCTGATTTTTTCAAAGTAAGAGCGCCAGCTCTGGATCCCAGCCAATAAAGGCAAGGAACRCATACCCGGCAAGAAAGGCGAAAGGGCCGGTACACGCCCGCAAGAGCGGACCAACCCCTCCCACCCAAAATCCAACTACGAGCTTTTTAACTGCAACAACTTAAATATACGCTATTGGAGCTGGAATTACCGCGGCTTCTGGCACCAGACTTGCCCTCCAATGGATCCTCGTTCAAGGAGTTTACGACTGTTCTCATTCCAATTACCGGATTCGAAAGAGCCCAGTATTGTTATTTATTGTCACTACCTCACTATGTCAGGATTGGGTAATTTACRCGCCTGCTGCCTTCCTTGGATGTGGTAGCCATCTCTTAGGCTCCCTCTCCGGAACTGAACCCTAATTCTCCGTCACCCGTTACCACCATGGTAGGCCTCTATCCTACCATCGAAAGTTGATAGGGCAGAAATTTGAATGGAACATCGCCGGCTCAAAGGCCATGCGATTCGACAAGTCACCATGATTCGCCGCAACAACGGGCNGGGCAGAAATTTGAATGGAACATCGCCGGCTCAAAGGCCATGCGATTCGACAAGTCACCATGATTCGCCGCAACAACGGGCAAGCCCGGATCGGCCTTTTATCCAATAAATACATCCCTTTCAGAAGTCGGGATATGCTGCAAGTATTATCTCTAGAATTACCATGGTTATTCGAGTGGTAAGGAGACCACCAAATAAATGATAACTGATTTAATGAGCCATTTGCAATTTCTTTTTTTCTTTTTTCTTTTTTTTTCCAATACAGACACACTGCCCCTTCTATTCTGGGAAGCACCAGTCCGGTTGCTTATCACCGGCAAGCATGAGCTGTACAAGATAGAGGAGACAAGACTGAGAGAAGAGGCCTAAGCCTGCCTGGTCCTAGCCACCAGTAACAGGGGGCTATCTCGGAGCACACATACCCAACTTTAGGGGAGGGTGTGGAGCAGGCCTTGGCGGGTGGGAAACATCCAAACAGTACCCAGACCACGCCAACCGCTGCTGCAGCTATCCTCCCCTCTTGGGGATGTCGTTCGGAGGTAGTCATAGACCTTACCAACAATTCCCACCTTTCATCCCCCTCGGCCATCCACAGTCCCTTACCACCAACCATCACACGCAATCTATGCCTACTAGCATTAGCTCCTCCCCTCGCACTCACAGTGCAAAGTATTGACACTTAGACGTGCATGGCCTAGTCTTTGAGACAAGCATATGACTACTGGCAGGATCAACCAGATAGCGGGTGCCGACGTGCACGTAGGCACGTCACACTGGACAGCCTACCAAAAGAACGTCGAACAATCGTGGAACGTGCAATGAGCTGCCGGGACGTCGCAAAGTCCGGCTGTTTGAATTGCACGTGAACTTCCCTCCGTAGGTCATCTCCAACGGCAAGGTACCGCACAATCCAACACAGCCCGCCGCACCCGCCCAAGAGATTGGCTGCGAACAGCACCCGCCCACACCACACCCAGAGATCGCAAGTTAACCACACTACCCGAACAACGGCGTGCACGAAGGAACCACCGACAGCTTCGGCCCACAGCCAGATGCCACCGCCCGCCCAAAACGTACCGACAGCGAAGTGCACAGCCTCATATCTCCATCGAGAAATGCAGGTGAAGAGAGAAACGTATGCACCATGCTTCCAACACGCCCGGAGGGACGGAAAGCCTCCACCTGTGCATGGGGGCGCAAAAGGAACACAACCCCTCTCCCCCCTGGGTCGACATCCGCTAGTTGCCGCGAGCACCACCAACAGCACTCGATGCAGGCGAAACCCAAGAGACAGACGATAGTAGCCTTCGAAGCCCACAACCTAAACTCAGCAGAACCACGACGCAATTCGATCGGTCACGGAGTGCAGCATACAGAGACCACAGGATGGGGGACACGACAGACACAAGTGCGCATTCCAAAAAGTCGCGCAAATGACGGGCTTAGCCTCGCGACGCCGTCGTAGGGTGCATCACGCATCCCACAAGTCTCCGCCCTCGCATTCGGTAAGCAGCGCGTGCATGGCCGAGGCCACCTGCGCCACCGCTCAATGGCGCCGCTCGGATGGCGAAGAGCGCAGAGCGTCCTCACCAAGTCGTGACAACCCCTCAACACAAACGGAACGCGCCGTTGTAAGTGCGGACACGAAGACGACACCACAACAGAGCCGCAACAGCTCTCCCCGAAACCTACGGGATGATGGTGCCGAAGTTGAGAGCCGGTGATGGGCACCTCCGCCTCCACACCCTGCAAACGACCGCCAACCGGACCGCCATCGGCGATCACCCGCCAATCATCGCAAGATGATGAGCGAGGGTGAAAGCAACGATCCACAACCCGGCACCAAGGCATAGGAAAGCCCCGACAGCTGCGACCGCCGCCAACGACGACCGAGCTGTCGTGAAATAAGCCCTCTGAGAGAGACGACCATGGACCCGAACGGCGCCGCAAAAATGTTCGCTCGACCACCAAAGCACAACTCGCCCGTCCCTCGCAAACTGGAAACCACCCAAAGCGTGTGCAGAGAGTCCCTCGTAACTCGAGTACAAGGTCCCAAGACCAACGCCCGGAACGTCGCCTTCGTCGACTGCAAGGGGGCTGCTAAGCACGCAGGCCCCTATAAGAGTGCAAACGGGACTCCGAACCGCCAACCACCG